TTTACACACAGGCAGGGCTATCTTTATACTTAAAAGAATGAAAGAAAACTGTCACTAACCTCATGGGGGATTTTCAGAAAATCATTTAGCCCACGTTGACTGAAAAAGAGTCCTCATTGTTTTTTTAAGCTTGTAATAAAAGATACCTAATTCAGCATTATTGTGCTACCTCAAAGGTAAAAATGTTTTAAGGTTATTTTTTGGTCCTGAGTTCTACTCATAGTGTTTGAAATGTCTTACAATTGGAGTTATTTTTTAAGTCATTGGGGTGAATCTTCTTTTAATCTGTTTTACACTTGTATTTTAATCTCAGAAGAATGATTAGAAAGCAATCAATTTTTGTTTTGTGGTATTAAATGTATTTATAATTAAAAGTCATTTAGAATTAAATGATTGTTTGCCATAAACAAAGTTGGGGTTTTGAAAAAATTCTAGGGCTTAGCTTCCTGTTGGTTAATAAAGGCTGACAAATCATGTCTGACTTTCTGGTGCAGTCCTCTATTGTGTCTTTTCCTCTCTTCTTGATCTTTACAGTACTCATTTGCAGGATGTACTTTTGGGTGTTTTAAAAGAGTTAGGCTGGCCTTGAACTCGCTATGTGGCCAGGTGGCCTCTAACTCAAACTCAGGTAGTTCTGCCCCAGCTTCCCAGGTGATGGGATGGTAGGTATGCACCACCACAACTGCAGATAGGCTCTTTAGATTGGTGTATGAGCTCCTGAAAGGTAGGGGGAAGACCTGAGCTATGTAAACTACACTCCTCATGGTTCACCAAAGGAGCAAGGAGAGAGACTGGGGGAAGGCGGGGGGCGGGGATACATTTAGTTTCAAACTGAGTCCAAAGGCCAAAGAGCGGAAAGAACTAAGGCTATAGTTCTTGTCTGTAGGTCAGAAGGCTCAAAACTCAGGAAAATCTGATGTTTCCACTTAAGTCTGAAGGCAGGATAAAAGCTACTGTGTCAGCTCAGAGGTAGTAAAGAAGGAAAATTCTCTCTTCATCAGGCTTTCTCCTGAATATGAGGGTCACCCATATTAGAGCAGTCTGATTTTTTCACTTTACTAAGTTAAATGTTAATCTCACCCAGAAATACCCAGAATAATTGGGTATTTCTGCCCTAGCAGAAATTACTCAGGTAATTCTGCCCCAGCTTCCCAGGTGATGACATAGTAGGTATGCGCTACCACAACTACAGATATGCTCTTTAGATTGGTGTATGAGCTCCTGAAAGGTAGGGGGAAGACCTGGGCTATGTAGTTATACACTCCTCAGGGTTCACCAAAGAAGCAAGGAGAGAGATCGGGGGAGGGCGGGGAGTTATCTGGGACTGTCATGGCCCTGCCAAGTTCACACACTTTAAAACAAACACCAGTCTCACTGTGAAGTTCATACTGGTCTTGATCTCATTATGTGCTTGGGATGGAAGAGTGACCCTCCTGCCTCAGCCCCTAAAATGCTGGGATTATAGATGTCTACCACTGTGTCCAGGTATAACACAAAATTAACCGTTATGGTTTGAATTGTTTTGGATAGGTGCAAGCGTACCCAGTGTACACCTTACCAGGAAGATAGTTCACCAGTGAAACTCAAACAGAAACCTCTCCTGTCTTCCAAGTTATTTCCTTCTTGTAACATGGCTCACATCAGAACTGTCTAGAAGACCAAAAGAAGCTAATTCCATAGTATAACCATATCTTCCCTTATCTAGACAGAGATGTGTGCCTGTACAAAACAGCCTAGTGGTGAGAACATATGAAATACCCACGTGAAACTGGACATGGTGGTGTACACCTGTAATCCCAGCACTCAGGAGGCTGAAGCAGGAGGATCATTGTGCATTTGAGGCCAGCCAGGACTACAAAGTGAACTCAAGGCCAGCCTGAACTGCATAACAAGACCCTGTTTCAAAAAGACAAAAAAAAAAAAAAATCCACATAGGTCCCAAGAAACTGGTGGTTAGTCACATGTAGTGGCACATGCCTATAAACCCAGCATTTGTGGGTCTGAGACAGAAAATTTGCAATGAGTAGGAGGTAAGCCTGGGCTACATGTGAGTTCAAGGGCAGGCTAAACTACAGTGAGACCTTGTCTCCTGAATGCTGAGATTGTAAGTGCGCATCACTACACTCAGCTCATTCCTCAGACTTTAACCTAAGGAATTAGTAACAGCTATGGTAGTTCCTTGCAATTTTGCGGTTTGATTTTTGCAGACTCACTGTTTGCCAGGTTTTTAAAAAAAATGAATCTAATTTATCTTGGATTTTTTGCTGTGTCACAGGATTTTGCAGTACCATACAGTATATGTATATTGAAATTACATAGGTTTATGAGTTTAGGAGATGGTTAAGAACATTAGAAGTGCTTTTAAAAAGTGTGGGAAGGGTTTATAAAGTTTATATATATATATATAGTAAAATATAATGTCATTACTTGGCTGATTTTCACGTATCACAAGGGTGTCTGGAACATAACCTCTGTGATAAGGGAGGGACCACTGCACAGAGGTCCACCATGGGCTTCCTGAGTGTCTTAGTCACTTTTTTGGTGGTAAGACACAATACCTGATGTGCACAATTTAAAGGAGGAGGGGTTTATTTTGTTTGGTTCCCAGTTCATCAATGGTCAGACCACTACAGGGTAAAACACCATTTTAGGGCCGGGGAGATGGCTCAGTGGAATAAGTGCTTCGTTGGCAAGCGCAAGGACCTGAGTTCAATCCCCGGTTCACAAAAAACCCCCACCATTTTAGAGAAAAAACTAGCTCATTTTCAGGAAGCAGATCAAGGGAGGGGCTGCAAAAGGAGATACACCTTTCTGGGTCATGCCCACAGAGACTTGCCTCTTCCAACCCCAGCTCCTAGCAGCAAGTCAGCTATAATGTTCCCATAATTCAGCCACCTTCCACAAGCTCCACCTATGAGCTTATAAGGCTGTGGGGGAGCATCTAGATATAAACCCAAATGGTAACATTCTACTTCTGGCTCCCAAAAGATTTGTACACATCTGTATACAAAAATGCATGTAGCAGCTCTCAAGAGTTGCCAAAGCCCTAACAATTTTACAGGGCTAAAAACTGCAAGTCCAAAGTCTCCTGAGATTTATAGTGAACTCTTAGCTGTCAGCTCCTGTAAAAGCTAACTGCTGACATACAATGGCATAAGGAAAACATTCCAAAAAGTGATGTTTCTCATTCCAAAAGGGAAAAAATAGCATAGAAATTAGTAGGACTAAGCAAAACCAAAACTCCGCAAGGCAAACACTAAGGTTTGTAGATATGTGGGAAGCACCAAGGGCAGTGTGTATGCTCAATGGTTTGAACACCCCTCCTCATACGTCATTGCCTGTGGGTGTATCCCTCATAGTTTCTCTTTTGGATTGGCTCTGTTCATTCCTGTGGCCTTTCTCACCAGGTATTTCATGTTCCTGACTTTTCTACCTTACTGGGTCTCCACTGCATTTTTGGCTTCATACATTGCCCTCTTAAGCCCACACTACCTGACCTCCTAGACTTTTTCTGAAATCGGTATAAGCCTCTATGAGCCCTATGACTTTTGTATTTTGCATACCTGTAAAGCCAGCACCACATGGATGTCACCAAGATTTGCCACCAGCTTGAGCAGTAGTCAGTCAGGCCCTTTTACATCATGGCTGCTGAGGCCTCTGAATTCTTGGGTAGCTGAGCACTGTGAAATGAATCCCAAGGTACCAGTTGCTGAGTACTGGGATTACAGGCATGTGCCACCACACCTGGCCTAGTAACAAAGTCATAGTCACTTTTCTCATTGCTGAGACACAACACCAGACATCTATAATTTAAAGGGCAGAGGTTTATTTCACATTATCAGGCTGTAATTGGCCAGCTCCAAGGCAAGACAGTATGGTAAAGAAAAGCTGCTCACTTTATAGCATCCAGGAAGCAAGAGAGATCAAGGAAAGAGCTGGAAGGTTAGATACAACCTGGGGCACGCCCACGGTGACAGGCCTTTTCTCACCAAACCCCACCTCAACACCAAGCCAGTTGTTCCGCCCCCATTTTCCAGTCACCTTCCACAAGCCCAGATTATGCACACATGAGACTTTGGAAGACATCTATATATAAACTATACTGCCACCCCCTCCCCATTGCGGCTGGTGTTTATCCTCCGCACTGCTGGCCTCCTGCAGATAGCATATGCTCCTGGCGTCTGTTGTTGCCTTTGGCGTGCTGTCTTTGCTTCGTAAAATGAGTGGTGTGGATACACATCCCACATTGTCCCTCACTATTCCACACTACATTATGTGATCTTGGTTACAGAAGCATCCTGTGAAAGAAAATAGATTTCTGGTTTGAAG